TGTTATTATGAACTGCTTCACGTATTCGCTAATGAAGTGATCCAAGCTCAGAGCAATTCCTTAGCACTTGGGGTTCCAAACCGACACGGATACAGATGGAGGCCATCTGCTCTTGCCCATGGCTTTTCACATAGGGAAGTACAGGCTTGTCTTCCAARGAGCCAGTTGGAAGTTGTAAATCCTAATCCTACTCCAGCTGGAAASGAGAGCTGGGAGAGCACCTTGGAGAGCAAGGGCGAGCTCTGCGAGTGTAATTACAGAGCTCTCRGGAAGATCCTTTAGGTTTTGATCCACCCAAAACAACCCAAACGACAAATAATTTCCTTACTACTAATGGGAGAGAGCTCAAATTGAGACTGTCAAAAAAAGGCTATTTCTTTGCCCTGAGAGCCCGTATCAAACGAACTTGAAACATCTACCCTGTACAGCAACTATTTCAATATTTCTTTTGATTAGCCGACTTCTTATCGCACATTTTTTATCGCACTTTCACACATTTCTTTTTTTACAAAATAATAAGTGTGCTATTTCCACCTAGACTCTCCAATCTTAACCTCTGCATCCTACTGCTGTCTAGCTCCTCACAATAATATACAACATCTCTTTACTCTTTAAGGGTACTAAAGATGCTTGTATTTTCATAYTGTAGTACTACTGAACTGCAATTACACTTTATTAAATATTTAACAGTACTAAATAGTTAGCTGGTTGCAGCAATTCAGCAAAAACACCTTACACAGGCCACACAAATAGTACATTTGATTTCTATTTGTGACTTGCCATTACTATCTTTGTTTGCAGCGAATACAGAGAATACACAGGGCAATGGTACACATCATACTCTGGCACTGGTGGATAACAATTTTTGCATTTCTCAAAAAAAACCTGCTGCATTAGTAAGATAACAGTTTGCCTGGGTTTTTATACAAATATTCTCCAACATCTTCGCTGGTTTGTGGCTACAGCTGGGATCCAAGTTGTGCCAGGGTTCTTCCTTCTAGAAGGACCTCCATATGCTGGAAGTTTGAGATGCAGGCAAACAGTTCTAAGGGGTGAYAGAGGCTGCATAAAGCCCCTATTTCCATGTTTCGGTTCCCAAGCACTCCTGGTGCGTTGCAATCCTTTGCCTCGGTTGCTCAAGATGCAGCACGGAGCTGCGGGAGCAGTTTCGCACAATTAAACGGATGTKTTTGATAGCCGTAAGTCAATATAACATCGTTTACTTTCCTTGCGTTGAATGGATAGGGTATTTAAAACTAAGTGACTATAAAGGAGAGAAATCAGTCTTTATTATCTTTCAAATGCAGTTTTTGGTGCCAGAAGGTAAGCTGAGAAACAGAAGGGTGGGTGATGTAGGTAAAACGTAGGCACAGCAGGCTGCAGGGCAGACTCAAACGCGTGCAGCCAGTCCAAAAGGGGCTGGTGGGAGAGGCCACTGCMCTCTGAGGTCCCCTGCCCACCAGGGAAGGCTCCTTCCCTCCAACTCCTGCAGGTTTTCGCTGTGCAGAGCGCAACTCCCCGTTTCATTGCATGCAGACACATGGAGCTCCAACCTGCAGCCGTGGGGAAGCATCTCCACGCTCGGACCACTGTGCCGTGGCCATAACCCTAGGCTTGGCTGCAAGGTGCCTCCCTAAATCATCCCCACAAGCAAGTGCAGCGAAAAGCTGCTCCAAATCAAGCAGCAGGGAAACGTCTCCCAAGATTTCCTCAAGAAATACCATTTATTTTTTTTGTGCACACCTTCTGTTAAGACTTTCTATAACCTACCACATCCCCAAGCCCAGTACATGCTCAATCATTGTGACTGCTGATTTTGTTCTATCTAAAGACCCATTCACTCTAAGTCATGATTTCAAGAGCAGCAAAGAGTTTAGGGAATAAAACTGATCCTCTGAACAAGGGTTAGCTTAGAGAAATGAATCCCAGAAAAGTAAATAAAATTATTTCTTTCTGCAAGTAGATTAATTGCACACGAAGTAGGAGTGATAGTTACACTTTAAAGGAATCTTTCGTGTATATTTAATTGGAGCTTTGCTATAGAAAGTGGTCTGTAATAGCACAATTACATCGTTTTAGAGAACTGTACAGTATTGCTCATGCCCTACAGATATGGGAGGAAAACAAATCATCACTGAAGGATGCAGGGCTAGTTGAAGGGTTAGTTCTTGCCTGATACTCAGCCAAGGGGTGGCAATTGACTGTTTTCTTTCCTTACGATTTCAGCCCAATCTCTCTTTACATCTAGTTCTTGCACCCCCCATCCACCTCCTCCCCTTCCACCGGAGGGGACAACATCACCGATCCTATGGGTCTGTCAYCTACCATGCAAACAATAGCAAATTAAATCCCAGCGTTTGGCCCAGGACGTCACAAGGAAGGTAAAAATAGCTCTTAACTACATTTCCTATTTTAGCTTCTAAACTACAGGAAACTGAAGAAAAGGCYGCACTTCCCAAAAGTCCATGCACGAGTGAAAGCATATCCAGTGCTTAGAATGGAAGCAGAGAGAACTCCCTTCAGTTATCCCTAACGGATAACTGCATTCCAGCAATGAGCTGTGCCCACGAGYAGCACTTTTTTGCTTGCTCGTTTTAACCCAAACAGTGTTTCTAAAYTCAGGATCTAAAAATCTTACTGTCAATAACACGTCACTGTGACACCAGGTGGGGAATCCAGGATAACTTGCCAGGCTCTTTGGCACTGGCTGCCACAACAGAGAACACCGAGGTAAGAAAATTTTTGAAGAAAGGAAGATTTACTAAACATGAAAAAAATATATAATGCTTTTTAATACATTTATGTGGAAAGTTTAAGGCTGCAACGTGCACAGACTTCTTGCAAGCTAAAAGGGAGAACACCCAGGGCTGAATATTTGTTTTCAGGCATCTAAGCAAAACTGACACTACTCTCAAACCCTGCCAGAGGAGCACCTGCAGCTCACTGGGAGCTGTAGTTAAACAGGAACACATTATTCTTTTAAGGAGCCCAAAGCGGCATCATATGAAAGCATGAAGAGTTGTTAAGTGGATGTTAAGGACCAAAGACTATGCAATAATAAAAGAAAACTGAAACACGCGAGTCATAATGACATTCTTCTCGTTCACAGGTTTGGGAGGCTGATACGGATGCTAAGTCTGGTCTAAGGATCTGAGGTTAGATTGCCACCATGTCACACAGAGCGAGTCCAACGGAACAAAAAGAAAGGAAACAAAACCGCCCACCATTCCTGGGCACTCCAGAAAATAACTGCTGCCCAGTGTGTGTTTTGCACCCAAATAACTGTTTCGGCTATGTTTATAGTGCCCCATGCTCATTCACCACTTGACATATCCCATCTTACGATAAAGAAAAGCCCATGGAACAACTCACCTTAAAAAAAAAAAAAAAAARRAAARAAAAAAAAAAAAAAGAAATGTATACAGACACACACAGAGGTTCTGAGTTTCGGCACACTACAAGAAAACTGGATAGGCTGTGAAACACAATGTGGAAATAATAATATGCAGAGCTAATATTTTCCACTGTTACTGCCACTCTCAAGCCAGCTGCCACATGTGCCAGGCTTGTTTACAAGCTGTTTTTATACCATTTTATGACTCTAGTAGTTTGGGTACCGATATTTCTGGAGCAGTCTGTAAGAAACATACGTAGACAGAGGCCTTAGAAAAGGATGCAAGAAGCGGAGAAAACTTTCAGAAGAGTAATATTTAATCTTAAATTCCAACAGGCCACAACACACTACTGTAACTAGTAAATACTGTGTCCACTATAGTGCTCCCACAATTAAAGCACAAAGAACCTTTACCAGAAATATTGCAGCTTTGTAGTTTTTTTAAGACCACTGCAGTACTTAAGTTTTCCAGCTTTAATAAACTGTAATAAGAAATTCTCTCCGCAAAGCAAAGCTGATTGAAAAAGCATCAGCAGTGCACACTTAAAGACCTGAGCACCGAGGAGGACTTTTCCAACAAAAGTCTGCATTAGAGCAGGAAAATACTCCAAGTATTATGGACTGACAAAATAATTTTCATGTTCCACAGAGCCTGGACTTGTAAAGCAGGGGTGTGAATTACCAACAACTTGGTCAAATTAATAAGCAAAGAACAGACTTCAGCTTCACTTCCACAGCAGCAAAGGGACAGGAAAGATACTGAGTGGGTATCAGTTTCACTCAGACAACTTGATCTCAGGGTTGCGGTGGGGAGTAAAAGATCTTTCGCACGCAAAAAAAAAAAGATGTGAGGAAGAAGAAAAAAAAAAAAGAGGCGTAAAAAAATAAGAGAAAACAATAGCAAAATGTTTTACTTTTTTCCCTCAAGAACCACACCCAAAGGTTGCAGCGCATGCAAAAGGGAGGAGAAGTTCACGAGCGCTCATTCCAMCACTTTCTTGCTCTCCACAGCCTCTGATTTCACTCCTCATTTTACCTGCTATATCCTATGCACTTTTTCTTTGTATCATACGACAAATCCGCACCGTGACAGGGACCAAATTTCTTTTTTTACTGTTAATGCAGAAAGCCTCTGACACAGTATTAGGCCCCGGCTGCTAATCACGGCTCCACCACGTTATCCACGTTCAGATAAGAAGCTGAGCTGGCAGTCAGATAAAAGTGTGAAAATAAGATGAGCTCAAGTCTGATTTGCAAATCCACCTCACCTTAAAGAGTGCATGGTAACTTCCCGTGCTTTGCTAAGATAATTCAATAAGTCTCTCATCATCTACTCAATTCCATCATAGAGAAACATAAGCATTAAATTCCTCCTACTGGGTCATTTGCAGTTTTCAGATTTGTTCGCCGTTTCCAGATTCAAAATCCAGGTTTTTACCCATTAAGTTTCCTTTGGTCCTGCTCAGAAATTTGGAGGGAGCAGGATCCTCAAAAYACGTTTTGAGCTCAAAAGGCGCAACCTAAACAAACCGACCTCAAACCATAACTCCKTATCGACACATTTAATCAATCCCAAGGAAAAAACAGGGTGCAAAGGGGGTCTTACCTTATCTTTTTCGTGGGGAAGGAGACACACTGGAGGGAGACAGGAAAGAGACTCGCAGCTCTCCTTCCCRTCAGCATTAGTGGTTGCCTTAGTGTTGAGCTGATACAAAGGTCCATCTTTGAGGAGCCTCCCATGGCCAACCGCACGCTTGACGGCTAATCTTAACTGCTGGTGGAAAACGGAGGCAGCGCTGCCTCCAAACAACGCCGACACATCTTTCTGCCCCTTCAGAAAGCGCTCGATGTTCTTCAAGGACGAGCCACTAGACTCCGCCAAGCCCTCGATGGCGCGTTTGATAAGTTTATTCCAGTCCACGTTTGGTTTACCATCCAACTTCCCATGGTTGCGAGGCTTTGGAAGTGCTATTCTCCCAGGATTATCAGGATCCTTGTAAGAATTGAGACCTTTGTTGGAGACTTTTAAAATAGTTCCATCCTTAACACTCAACTCTAACTGTTCCAGAACAGTTTTGCGGTCCAAACCATGCGATGAAGATACTGCATTGCATATCCTCTCCTCTGAAGGACGCTGTTTTTGTTTCTTTACCTTTTTGATCGCCTCCAAAATCCACTCCGTGTACAGGGGGTTAGCGAGTTTTACCATGGTGAAGAATTCTGTATATCCATAGAGTCGTTATCCTTTATCCCGATGCTGAATGAGTTTCACACCGTGGGAAAAGAGATTCTCGGATGATGGGAAACAGTTAACCATAGCATACACGTTTTCTGTTCTGAATTACTCCTCCTTTCTCAAACATGAATTGTTTTCACCCTGAAAAGAAGAAATCAAAAGAATTATGAATTTCCTCATTCTTTCTAGGAAATCCCGGAATAGCGTCAGAGGAAGTTTTCCCACAAAGAAACAAAGATTTCAGTACATCTCACCTCAACTTTGGGTCTTTACACTCACAGTCAGAGTAACTGTAGCATTAAGCCTGGAAGGAAGCAAGGAGAGTCATTTCCAAAGAAAAATAATAATAATAAAAAGCCTACAATAAGTCAATAACAAGTTATTAAAGACACAGCAGAGTTTTTCACCCATTATCACAGTTTCAAAACACTGTATATACCTAAGGTTATGTATTTAATGCACATCAAACACAACTTGAAACAACTAAACCAATATATTCCAGTAGAAAGGAAAAATAAGGATCAGAAGTCACTTAATTCTGCACTGAGTTTTATAATATTAAATGATTAGAATCTAATCATTTAGACTGGGGGAGGGAGGGTCAGAAACAGATTCAAGGAAAAGCAGCAACTCTCGTGATTTTTCTACACCAAAAACAACACCCAAGATGTAAATAGGAAGAAGCAGAAGGTGTTGAGAGCCTTGAGCAAACAGCAAGGGGGAAACTTTCAGAACTCCTCCAGGAACGTAATCATAGGTCTGGGGCCCTCCTGCTAAGGAAAGCTATGACAGTTGTTCCATGAAGGAAGAAAAATAAATAAATAAGCAGCAACAAGGGGAAAAAAAATAAAAAAAATCACAGTTTGAGGTTTTAACTAAAGGTTCCACTTCCAGAAACCCTAGAAAAGAAGAACACAGCTGTGTAACCTGGCACAGCCGGGATACAGGGAGAGCACTTGGGGACAAAGTAACAGGTGAGCAGGCASCACGAGGAGGGGACGCTCGTGTCACCGCCAGCTGAAGGGGGGCAAGTGGGTGCCGGGCTCCACTTTGCTGTCTTTGAAAGAAAAACAACAACAACAGCAACAACAACAAAAAAGGCATTTTCTGCTTCTGCTAAGCGGCCGGGCCGCAGCTCCGCGGGGAGACGCGCTAACCCTGGCGGATTTCTAAACTGTTTGCAGGAATAAAGGCTGCGACGGAGGGAAGTTTGGGCTCGGAGTTAAGTTGTCAGCGCGGCGCGCGGCCGCTGCTGCTTTCGAGGAAGCGCCGGGAGCCCCGGCCCCGGGAGAGGCCGGCGCGGGGCCGGAGGCTCCGGGGGCGGCCCCGGGCCTCCCCCCGCCGCCCG